AAAATAATATTTGACCAAAGTTATTATTTTGCCACAAATTTTGCTTGATCATAGTTGTGTGTGTACAAATCTTTTTTTTTTTGTTTTTGTTTTTAAAAAAACTTTTTGCTGTTTCTCATATTTAGTTTTTTCAATCATTTGTTTTCTTCTTTCTTTTTTTTTTTAATTGCTTTTTAATCATTTATTATTTTTTGTTTAATCTTTTATTTTTTGCTTTAGGTTTAACCTAATTACAAAAGAAAAAAAATTGTTTTATATAAATATATAAAATTATTTAGGTTATCCTTATTACAAAGCTTCTGAAGTGATATGTCCATATGTGATATGATAGTGATATGTTTTTTTTTGTATATTTTATATTTAGGTTATCCTTATTGCAAACCTAATAAAGTGGTATATCTAAAAACCTTTTGTATAATTAGGTCATCCTTATTACATAGCTAATAAAGTGGTATGTCCAAATTTTTTGTATATTTTATATTTAGGTCATCCTTATTACAAATCTAATGAAGTGATATGTCCAAAATTGCACCATGATGATGCAAAGTCATCAAATTATCAAAATTGTAGTACTGAAGTTCTTTTATTTACCAAAGAAGTGGCGAGTAATCTAGTCTCGTTTTGTTTTCCTTCAGGAGGGTATGGATATAAAGTGTCACAACCTGTTCATGTTTCATCTTTGGTGCTGACAAATATGGGTGGTTCTCGGTCGTATGCAGTTTATTTAACTTGCACTCGAGAGTATATAGCTATATCTGATTCTTTCTGCGAAAAAATTTTATGTACTAAATCATCCGATTCAGAAAATTTTCCATTGCATATACCTTTATGTTTTTGTTTAGTTTCATCTTTTCCTTATTTTAATACTATGAAAGATTGTCTTTCAACATTAGTACCATTTTTAAAAAAAAGTGAAGAAGAACTGTTAAGTGCAGTAATGAATCTCGCGTTTTGTTTATTGACTACTCCAGTACCACCTCCAGGTCCTTTGTCAGTTCAACTATCTCTTTTTGGAATAGAACATATTGTTCACCCAGCTGATGAAGCGATTTTTCGAGTGATAGATATTGACCTTCGACTTCCTTTATTTATTTTGAGTGCTGAAGATGTTGCCAAAATTATTGCTTGTTTATTTACTCAACAAAGTATTATATTTATGGCTAAAGAATATTCTTTACTGACAATGGTTATTGAGGCATTTTTAACATATATTGATCCCTTCAAATGGCTATTTACATATATTCCTGCATTACCAGCTGCACATGCTGATTATATTGAAGCACCAGGCAGTTTTATTATTGGTTTACACTCTTCATTACACTCTCAAGTTAAGCATGTTCGAAAAGATCCTAATTCAGGAATTGTTTTGGTGGATTTGGATAAAGGTGTTGTTGATATTAGTTCTAACATTAATGTTCCCTCAATGCCAGACTTTGTTATGCAAACACTTGTTATGAAACTAAAAAACTGTTCTTTAGTATTTGAAATGAGTATTGTTTCTTCACCAAGTTTATTTTCATTTGAAGAAATTAAAAAACAAAAAAACAGATTTTTGGACAAAATTAATTCTGATATTAAAGAAATATTTTTTTATATGTTAGTTAATTTGTTTGGAGATGTATACAATTATATAAATGACCAGTTTTTTGACAAGGATGCATATTTGCAATGTAAACCTGAAGATGAGAAAGCTTTTTATAAAGAAGTCATTAATTCAGATTCTTTTTCTATTTTTATTGGTGATCGAATCAAGCATAGAGATTGTAGAGATTCATTTTTATTATTAAGTGAGCGGCTTCTTTCTCGAAAAACTAGCACACATTTTCGTAATAGATCATCTGGAACTTATACAAAGTCTCGCAGCACCAATCCAACTGAAAACCAGTCTATTTCATTAAACTCTGTAACTGAGGAAACAGTTATATACAAAATGCCCACAAAACATATTGAAAGTTTATCAACAGGCAGATATTACAAATGTCATTACAAACAACTAACTTCTTTACTTCAAGGATCTAATAGCCTATCTAATTCTCTAAAAGCCAGTTATCTATATTTACGAGGTTTTGCTCAGATATTTTCTGGTCTTAAAATAGAAGGTTTGCGTGATCTATATTCTCTTAACTCATTGTCTCCAGATCTCTTTCCTGCTGAGAATATTTTTGAGGTTATTAATAATCTTAATCCTTTCCAGATTGAACAAATAAAAAAAGAACCCTTTTATAAAGAAACAGCAATTTTAAGAACAATATCTGGTAACAGTATGAATGCAAGAATTGATATGCAAATGTTCAGTTCAAGTTTAAAGTTAGATAAAGAAGAATTTTTACGGCGAATGGCAACTTTAAAAATAACAGATGAAACTGCTATGTGGTTATTCCAAGTGTTATTGAGTGAGCGCAAAGAAAATACTGACTGTATACAGCCTGATCAGTTTAGTTCATTTTACAAGATGTGGACATATATGATGCAGGAAAGTCGAGAAGTTTCTGGAGTCAAGGTATTAAAATTTATCAATATCATAAATAAAAAATTGTTCAATGTGGGTAAAGGGTGGACATTACTCTTAATCAACAAAAAATCCTTAATATATTTATCAACATATATATGTGTGTATATAAAAATAATTTAATGTACTTATGTCTATATAATATACATACGTATATATATATATATATATATTATGTCTATATAATATACATACGTGTATATATATATGTGTGCGCGTGTGTTTGTGTATATATGTATGTAAATAAATATATATATATATTTATTTATTTATTTTTTTGCACACACTAACCAATATATATATATATATATATATATATATATATATATATATATATATATATATATATATATATATATATATATATATATATATATATATATATACATATATATATATATATATATATATATATATATATATATATATATATATATATATATATATATATATATATATATATATATATATATATATATATATTAGTCTTCTTTGTTTGAAATTTAATGCCAAGGCACAAAATAGTACTGGTAAATGTTAATTTTTTTATTGGTGTGTGCAAAAAATTTATCTTTCTCTGCTATTTAATTCAAAATAAAAATAGTGAACTTAATGCTTTGAATAAATGCTAGATAAACTAATAAAAAGTAAAAAACACTCAGGAAACAAACATTTTATATGAATTCTAGATAAAATCAATATAAAAACGGCATTAAAATAAAAATTTAAAAACGATTATTATAAATATTAAGCAAAGTAATTAAAATTATAAGGAAAAATTTTAATTACTTTGCTTAATATTTACGGAAAGACAAAGGTTTTATTCAACATCTAAATAATTTAATTTAATTCTAAATAAAATAATTAAAAAAAAATAAAAAAAATAAAGAAAATAACATTTTATATAAATATAAACAAAGTAATTATAACCAAAGTGTTTTATTTAAATTCTAAATAAAGTAACTAAAAAAAATCTGGTAGTGGTGTAGTGGTAAAACACTCGCTTAAAAAGCGAGAGGTTCTGAGTTCGATCCCCACCACGTCCCTAGTAGTACCACGCTCAACTTGTTTCTCCCCGCAGTGGCCTTGTTCGTCAAGGTTCATGTTTCGGAGTTAAAGAGTTAAGAGTGGGTTATAACCACTATTAAGTAGCCTTCTCGTCTGTATTGGCCTTATCAGCCTTGAGGAGGTGAATAGCAAAAAAACAAAAAAAACAACCTGTCAAAGGGAATGTTTAGTTTAAGTGAATGTTAGGGTGCATCAAGCGCCCCATACTTTCAAAATTTGATCTGTCTCTATTCTTAAAACCATCTGTTGGTTCTCACAAGACACTCTGTTAAATTTTTTCAAAATTAAATGAGATTTAGGGGGGCCACATTAAGTCTGAAATTTGCAACGAGACTCTAAATAGAAGGAAAAAAAGTTTATCAAATGTATGTCGTGTTGGGTCTCAAAAGAAGCGAAACTTTATAAAAATTTCAAAAATAGTTATGATTTTTTGTTAAAAATACCTTGAATAAAAATTTCGACCAAAAACCATGAAAAAATGGCTTTTTTTAATTTTTTGCTAAAAAATAGTTTTAATGCAATAAAACTTATAATAATAAATATTATGTAAAATTTTTATTGTTTTTGAAATTTTTTTTATAAAATTTCGCTTCTTTTGAGACCCAACATGATATACATTTGAAAAACTTTCTTTTCTTCTGTTTATGGTCTCGTCGCAAGTTTCAGATTTGAGGTGGCCCCCCTAAATCTCATTCAATTTTGAAAAAATTTAACAGAGTGTCTTGTGAGTACATATGTATGTATGTAGTTAGTGAATTGGGTCCAGGCCCAGGCTACAACCTGCCTCTGGCAAAGTTATAAGATTTGTCAGGGGTTGGTAGCTGGGGCTAGTAAATAATTTATAATATTTTACATATTGTAAATTCATGCATACATTTACTATTTATTAAATACTGGCATTTATATTTTTTTGAAACTAGTTCGCTTTTGACAAAGTTGCAAGCAAAGTTTAAGCAATTAATGTATGAGTCGCTAGAAAATAAAGCATAGAGTTAAAAAGAAAGAAACTAGTTAATTTAAAAATTTGTAGGTTGTATGAGTCAGAAAAACATGAAATTAATGAGAGTTTTGAGGTTTTGTTGAAGTGCAAGGGAGTAAACTAGATAAATAAAAAATTTTACTGCATCGATGGACAGATACAATAATGAGATTCAACTTTGCTGAATCGCAAACCAAGCGAGAACGAGTTTTGGTTGATTGAACTATAGATGATAGCTTGTATAAGTAAAAAGTAGTAAAAAGTGTAAACTCTAGTAATAAAAAGATTTCTTTTAAAACCACAAATATCAATTGTGGTTCTATGTATAATGAAAAAATATTTTTTTCTTTAAAAATAAGCATGAGGTTTTTAATTTTCATGCATAACTATAGTAAACAGTAGTTTTTAAAAACATGCCAAATTAGTTAATAATTAGTTAATAACAGAATAGCTTTAGAAAAAAAGTATTAAGTAAAAATCAGCATGTATAATACACTTATAGAGAATTAAAAGACTTTAAAATAATGAGACAAATTTTTAACATTCAATACTATTATTTTGTACAAAAAGTGTCATATATTTTAGAGAACCTACAACAATCTATGTTAAGTTCTTAAACTAGTAAACACATAATATATACAACTAATTAGAACTATATAAATTGCCCTTATTTTCCCCTTTTGGGTTTCTTTCACATTTTAAAATAAAGACTTGTAATTCATTTTATTTGCTTGAAATAAACTTTTTTTTTTTCTCCCATAAATACTTGTTATTTTGTTTATTATTTAATTCAACACAAATTATTTACCTGATAGTTTTGTTTTTTTTTTTTGTTTATTAATATTACGAAAATTGGTGAAATTCACAAACTTATTTGACAAAATAAACTATTTCCAAATGATTTTCTTTTCATTGATTTTTCTAGTTTATGTATTAAATTAGAGGATTTTGAGTGCAAAAATGTTAAGAATATCATAAAAAGTGGATAGCTGCAAATAATGATAATACTAATTTTAAGTGAAGTAATGAAGATTGGCTAGCTCAAGTACCTATTATCTATAATATAAGTATCTAGTTCCAAACTACTACTAAGAAGTGAGTTTAAGTACAAGACTGAAAAAAATTTCTGAAATTTGAAATTAAACCCCTATTGAAGTTGCTAAATATTCACCAAATTAAGCTTTATCATTAATTATTGATAGTGGTATATCAAAATCAATATATCTGCTTCTAAGATATGGTGCTGAAGAAAAAGGTTTATCCTTTGAACATTTATGTAGAAGACTATTCCGTATAGACTATTCCTAAAACTAATAAAAGGCTGCGTAATCACAATGTGATCACAATTAGTGCACAATTGTTTAGATGCATTGCTGGATTTGTTGCTACAAAACATAGTTTTTACAAACAAGTAAGTCAAAATGAAATCTGTGAACAAAGTCTTGCGAATAAAATGAATGCTTGTTTATTATTTGCACCATTAAAACAGGTAAGTCAAAATGAAATCAGTGAACAAAGTTTTGCGAATAAAATGAATGCTTGTTCATTATTTGCACCATTAAAACTCAGTGAAGCTTATGATTAAAACACAATATTATTCATTCAGAATATGGCCAATAGATGAAAAATAAAAAATATTTATTCTTATATGAGATGTTAAGTAATCAACATTTTTAAAACACCATGTGCGTATGATAATTTGATAATGTAGTGCCTAATCTAGTGATAAATTTTCATATTTTTCTCAAGTGTGCATTTTTATTTTTAAAGTTTATTCCTTATTTTTGTTTATGTAGTTATGAAGCCAAATTGCTAAATTACTTTTGTTTACCGTGATATTATTGACACCAGTATAAAGATAAAATAGTTTGTTTTTCAGTTCCACAATTTTCAAAAGTGAAAGGATTTGTTTATTAAAGCTTTAGAAACATGTAAAAAAAAATTTAAATAACTTTTAGTATTAGCAACTCTTTAACTAAAATTTATAATTGAAGTAAATATATCTTAATACAAAATGATTGTTTAGATATTTAAAGGGTTTTAGTATAAAAAAAAGTTCAAAGTAATTTTGTCCACCATGTCTAATATCCTGCCCACTATGCAATGGGAAAGTAGCAAGGTCCAAAAGCATATTTACAATGTGCTTTTGGACCTTGTCTGCAAGTGAGGGTTGTTCTTCATCTTTATAAGAATGTCAACAGTATTGTAATAGCTGTTTGCAGTAAATGAGTTTTGTTGGATTTTAAATCTACAAGCCAATGCAGTTACAGAAGAGAAATTGGCTGCTTATTCTAAACCATCAAAAAGTGAATACAGGAGTATTAAGTTGAGTTGTCGTCAAATTGAGCCACTTTAGATGTAAGATTGTCAGGAATATTGTTGTTGAAGATAAAGAATTATACTGGAGCAAAAATAGAACCTTGAAGTCACTGGAAAAGAAGAGTGTATTCTTTTAAAAACAACTTTAAAACTGTGGTTAAAAGAAATAGTTAAACTGTTACAGTCTGAAAACTTTTATATCAAGAAACAAATACTAGAGAAAAAAAGTTGTTAAATAGTTGAAGGTGTTTTTTAGAGTTTTTAAATATTGGAACCACTTATTTAGCTTTTAATGATAGATGAATGAGTATTGAAGATAGTTCTGGAGAACACGTATGTAAGATTTTAGAAGACATAGAAAATCAAAATTGAGAATTGACTTAAGCATTTGAAGCTGGAGTGAATTGGATGACTAACAATAGGTTAATCTGTTTAACTGGAATGGCATTAAGAGGATGGCCATTAAATTCACGAGTCAAATTAGTGGAAAAGTTTTTTGCAACTAACTCTGCCTTAATCTGGGGAGAAGTAATAAGATCAGACACATGAGTTTAGAGATTTAAGGTTAGACTTAAGTTAATGACACTTTTAAAGATTTTCCAAAAGTCTCTAGAACCTAAAATCT